AAAGTTCAGATCTCCACATTCTTGGACTTATGTTTCAAAATTCTTCCTCTGCCAACAGAAAAAAAAAAAAAAAAAAAAAAAGACTTGTATTTTTAAACGTGGTGGTGGTAGCTGCAGGAAAAGAAGAGAAATTAATAGCATCTTCCTACTCTTGTCATTTCTTAGTGGCCAGAGCACTTGCCATGGGGAAAGACTCAAACCTGAGAGACCCTTCAGGTTCACACTCCACATTCCCTCCCTTGCTGTCAAGCAAAAAACAATTTACACTTGGCCCACCGTGCTGAAGTTATCACTGCATCTTTACACAGAGGCATATTCAAAATTCATGGGGTGAAAATCAGTTTAATTGAGAAAATATATGATACTACAGGTATGAAGCTGCTATCCTATAGAGCTGAGAGGGAAAGTAAGATGATGAATTCTGGGTTCTTATGCCGATTTTATATTGTATCTGATACAAAGTAAAATGTGTAAGAAACAAAACAGCACAGTGTTGGGAAATTAGTCATTCTGCTTTTGGGTCAGGCTCCCCTTTCACACTCCACACTTTGATTTGCAGAGTGTCTCACAAACAGAAGAACGTAGGTACCAGATTTACTCCAAGAAATAACTCTCTTGGAATGCAGGCTTCTCCAGTAAAGAAACATCTAGAATCTAGGTCTCCTATTTCCCTGACCTGTATTCACATCATTAAAGATTTCTTCTCTTCCATCTCCTATCAAAGTGAGGCGAAAACATGACAAAAAACATTCTCTACGCTCTACTGAATGAGCAGCTAACATGAATGCACATATCAAAGGAGAAATTCAAGGTGGATACTCCTTTACATACTAAAGTCAAAAATAAACAGCTGCCTGAATTGATGCAAATGCACTGTTAAAACTTAGATATACATTCAATGCTATGGAAATTATACAAGCACAACTAGAATCAAGAATTTTGTTGGGGTCATTTTGTCTGAAATCCCTGAAATTCCAACAAAGGCAGGCAAAAACACCAACATTCTTAGTTTTATAATAATGAGAATCCAAACACTAACAAGACAAATATTTTACTTCTACTCTGTGAACCACTCATAAACAGCAGAAAAAAATGGAAAGATAAATGATGAAGTTTAGCAAAGTCACCTGGGACCCATCCTATGCTAAGTCAAATATCTCGTCCTTGCTACATTTTACCATTCTGCTGATTTCTGCCATCACTCCAGGTCACTGATGGGGAATGTGATGTGCTTCAAGAACACGTCACATTGAATTCAGGAGGGAAAAAGAACTGTATGCGGTGAGAGACCACACTGTCACTAAAGTGTATTTTTGATGTTTCTCAACCAGCTACTTACTCATTCCTCTGGTATGTTTCAAGGAGGTTTTTCTGAAGCCCTCAGCTTGCGGCTCCTGACTTGCCCGAGTGCAGGGCTGTGCTGGCCACAGCCAGCTGTCTTCTTGCCACCTCCATCAGCTCCCAGCCAGGGAGGAGCTCAGCTGCTCAGGCAGCAGCTGCCCAACCACTGCAGATCACCACTTGCCATGATAAGGTAATCTGAAAGAGGTGTCAGTTTAACTTAATACACTGGGCTATTAACCACAGTAGTTCAGCAGCTGTTACTTCAGTAGCTCCAAAAGGGCTCACAGGAGGGGCAAAACACAACACAGCTGCTCCAAGGTAAGCCAGTCCCATTCGCTAATTCCAGCTCCCAACGTACCACTTAATATACAGTTACCTTCATTGATACACTGGGAACCTCAAAGAAAATGAAGCCCGTATGGCTAGGCCATACTTACTTTGAACATAGCAAACCATGCTGATTTGCATTAATTCATTTTTTTGATTAAGCAAATCCTTTATCAGCTTTTCTATTATGCTGACTAGTGCTTGAGATCAGATTGAATGTTCAATGGTTTATATATAAGACATCTTTCTGATTCTCCCTTTTTAATTCTAGCAAAGTATCATCATCTTTCTCCTAAGTCTTTTTTGCCATTCTAATAATTTATCAAAAAAATTTCACTTCAGCCTGGGACCAGTTTTCAAGCCTAGTAACTTAAAAATGCTTAGCCTTCATGGGCACTGTTTAATACTTTCCTTAAGTAACCACTGTCAAATACTCCATCCCTGCAGGTGATTAAAACCTGCTATCCTGGCTCATTTGAGAGTGTGCAAAAAGTCATATTTTTGCCTTTTCCAGCATTTCTGTGAACAATTTTGTTATTTCCACCTGGTGGTAAGCCTATGCCTTACTAAAAGGATTTTGTTGCTAATCTTCCTACCCTGCCCCTCTTTGCATCAAGGAGCAAATCCCCAGGCTTCTGAGCAGCATTATTTAACATTATTTAGTTTTCCATCTGGGCTATGTGGGTACACAAGCCGTGAAGAAAACGTCCATGAAGGGAACAACAGTGTTACAGACCTGGTGCCTTCTGTCCACATTCTCATTCCTTCAGTGACAATGTGCATCAACCAGAGGCATGCAGGAAGGGGTGGAAAACAGCCACCACTGAAAACTTTCTCATGAGCTTGTTTTAGCAGTGAGGACTTTGATATTAGAAAGTGGCTTGCAAGTTATGCAATAGTATAATAGTATCCTTTTATTGGAAGTTGTTCATGAAAAGGTATCAAAAGATAATCCCTAGATTAGGTGCCCTTTGAATTCCTTACTCTGGGGTGTTTTTTTTGTTTTGTTTTGTTTTTTTTTTGAGAGAGAGAGAGGCTGGGGAGGAGGGTGGGAAGGAAGAGAAGTGAGGGGGCATGCCAGGAAAACAAGGTCCAGATTAGAAGTCGTTACTATTACCAGTTTCATAATAGAATGTATGAAAAGGTCAAATTCTTGAAAAGAAGGCCATGCCTCCCCGACTTAAACCTAACAGTTGTGTAGAGAGGATTTTCTCCTCATTTCTTCCATCTACTTCTGCATGAAGGTTAGCTTCGTACAGTGGAATAAAGTATTTAGCTGTTAATATACCTGACCTTCCTAAATCCTTCCAACTGGAAAGGGTGGGAGTTATGTCTTCCCCCATCAAACGAGCTTAATGCTCTCACCAAATTGTAGAGCCATGGGTAGATTCTGGGATACAGTTCCTTACATTCAGGAATTCTGCCAATCGCAGGTGCAAGAGCAACACCTCGGAACACAGATAATGCAGAACTTCATAGGCTTCGTCCCAGCAGTGACTGTCCTTGCAGCTGACACTGCTGTGCTGCACCCAACAACCACCACAGCAAGCGGACACATCATCTGCTTTTCCTAACCAGCCTGTAACTTGGACCATAATCATCCCTAAATAATAAACAATCCATGTTCTCTACATCCTGTAAGAGCAAGAGGAGAAAGACAGTTATGAGGATAGTCTCATCTGAGCTCCTGAATTGCTTTGCTTGTTATAGGTCAAGCATGAATGCTTTTGTGTTTATTTTTAACTAGAGACAATCCCACATTTAAGATTTTACTAAAATATATTAACAATGCAAAAAAAAAACAAACAAACAACAACAACAACAAAAATAACACCAAAGAAAGAGGAAATCACCTAAGTCATACATTCCAGACTATGCAGGTTATGAACAGTCAAGACGAGCTTTTATCACGCTATCAAGGAGGGAGAAAAAAAAAAGAGAATAAAGAAAACCACACTTCTTCCTTTAGAATTCTGGGTTGGGAAGTTCCCTAGCTTGTTAGTCATGCTGCATTCTGAATACAACTGGGAAAATACAAAACACAATTTGCATTTAAATACTATATTGAACACAAAGCCGTTCAGACACCATTTGAATCATAACTTATATTGGACCAGGAATGATTCACAATCTGCATAGTCATTCTTTGCAATGATCATATTCTCTACTGACAGCCAACTGTGTCTGCCCTCACTGCACATGACAATTTTTATTTCTCTTAATCTTCTAATTGCCCAATTCCAGAAAATATAAGCTATTCAAATACTGAAAGAGGACTCTTAGTCTAGCAATACAAACTAAAACCATTAACATGAAATAAATTGGTTTTAATTAAAAAAAGGAGAATGGTATCATGTTAAAATAAGAAAATATGGGAATATCTTCCACACTGGATGATCTACTAGAGCCATCTTCAGCACCTCAAGGAAACAGAAGACCATTTGCTTTGCAGGAAAAACATCAGCATCTGTTCACACAGGTCCTGTTCAAATGGTGGAAAACAACCAGCTGAGATGAAAGTTTTTACTGGAAATAACCTATTGTCACAGCATATCATCTGCATCATATTCTGATTTTAATACAATTTCATCACATTACATTTCATCAACACAAACATTCCACCAATGGAACTGAGATACACACATAATTCCTATTTAGTAATTTGTAAGCCAAAGGGATCAATTTTAGACAGTCATTTCCAACAAATGCTATTTTACATCACACTGATAATTATAGTGTCTCTTATGACAGCATGTATCAGAGCACTTCTCATAACCAACAGTTCGCAAGAATATTTTGGCAAATGCAATTATGTGGATTTCAGGAACAATGTTTAGGAAAGTCTGCAATTATTAATTATTTAAAGAACTGAAAAACTATCTTTTATTCATGCTGCCATTTTTCAGGGTGAAATTGCTGCTTCTCATAGCAGCTACTTAGCCTATTACATAAAACAATACCAAGAGTTTTTGAAGGTCTACGAAAGTAAAGGATGAAGCATCACCAGAATAATCATCGCAATCATCATCTTGCTTTGTCATTCTCTTTCTTTTGGCGAAGAAGCCAAAGTGCCTTTGCCATCTTTTGCCTATATCGAGCAACTAGAATAAACATTCAAGACATTACAGGACGAAACATCCAGTGTCACTGGTTTGCTTTCTGACCCCAAGTACTCCAACTGTTAAATCCTCAACTAATGTTCTAAAATTTAACATTGTCCTAAGTGTATCACACTGACAGACATCCATAACACACATCCAAAAGCAAGTATATGGACAATATGGTGCATTTCCTGAGAGGATGTTTAATATAAAACCAAATTTCAGTACCTGTAGTTTAGAGCTTTCTTCATCAAAGCCTTTTCATACATCATTGTATTTAATAGAACTGAAGAGGAAGAAAAATATTTTACCAGTTTCTTGTAGTCCTCCTAAAAATACAGAAAAATCTGCTTCCAGGAAATTACTTTCAGTGCTTATATTTATATAATAGCTATAGCTATTTTATAGCATTTCTGATTATCTTAGCTGCAACAGAACTAATAAAAAACAACTAATATCTAGTGGAATAAACACTAAGGAGCACTTCCCATGCAGAAAGAGAGGGAGAAAATCCGCTCAAAACCTGAAGCCGATCGGCACTGTGTTATTCACGCAACGACAGCGATGTGCTGCGGATGCGGCCACAGCAGCGCCCGCGCTGCCCGATCCTGCTACCCCTGCGGAGGGCATCTCCCATCTCCCACCTCCGGCGCGCGGCCATCTGCACCGCGCTGCGCAGAGCCGCCCCGCAAAACCCTGTCAAAGGAAAGACGCTACCCAGGGCTCACACGCAGAGCCCGAGCCCTGTGCGGATGCGGAGCCCTTCGCGTACTGACTCGCATAATCAAAACGACCACATCATTCTGCAGAATTCTCTCTCTCTCTTTTTTTTTTATTTTTTTTTATTTTTTTTTTTTTTTAAAGAAGAGGAGGAGGAAGAGGAGGAGGAAAGACGCCCTATCTTACGCCTGGGCGGCAGCGGGGCGTTTTGCCGGCAATGACCTAATTACTAGAATAAAAAGCCACCTATGTGACAAAGAGCGAGGAAGGACGCGGCGCTTCATACATAATTTATTAAGATTTCCGCGAGCGTTCGGGTTGAAGCGCGGGCCCGGCCGCTCTTTGTGATGTTAAACGTATTTCTGCGGCCCGGGGCCCCGCGGCGGGGACGCGCTGCGGCGGGGACGCGCCGCGGCGGCTCCCGCGCTACCTGCCGCGCG